GCATTTGAGTAATAATATTGTTGCCCTTCGTCGGTTCATCGATTAGCTATCAATGTGCTATCGAATATTTGTCATTTGTTTGTGTTTTGTGCTTGCCACGCCGCGCACTTGGGGGTCTTCGCCTTGGCTAGTGCCCAAGGGTCTATTAGGTCATCCAAAGTCGTGGGACAGCCCTTAAGTCAACCGTTTGCGGGGCGCTCAGTCAAGCTAAGCCACGCCTAGACGCAGTTGCTATTAACCAGTTACCTGTTAACAGTTACAGTTACACTTAAAGGCACTTTCGCAGCTGGCTGAAAAGCAACCCCCAAATCAGGAAAAGGGCCCAAACTATGTACAAAGTGAATCACACACAAATAACTAAAAGCCCCATTCCGCTGGCAAAGCGGAATGCGTTGCCAAAGGAAATGCTCAACAAAGACTCGGCGAATCTGATAGAAAAGGTAACAACAACAGCAACAGTAATGGCAACAGCAACAAATGTAACAAAAACAAAGAGCGGTATATAAGGAATTGCCAAAGAGGCGCAGAGACGCCCGAGCAGAGTCAAGTCGACTTGAGCAAGCAGAGCCGTCGCTCTCGCTCTAACAGCCGCTCTCCCTCGTCCACTTCCACTCGAGCAAAGCATAAATTATCAGCACAATGGGCAACAGTCAAGGCAATGGCAAAGGAAAGGCAACGGGGAGAGGCAAAGGGAAAGGCAAAGACAAGAAGCGCAGAGACACAGGCAACAGGGCAAAGGAATGCCAAATGACAACAACAAAGGCGCAAGCACCAAGGGGGTGGGTTTGCTTTGCATGCGAAGCTAAGCAGTGCGGCAGACAGAGACGGAGTGCGAGCAGAGGCCAAGGCAAAGTGAGGGACGCACAGAGTGAGCAAAAAAGAAAGCATGCCCGGGCCAAAGTCTATTTTAATTTTGACGTAGTTAGTGACACAGAACGTTTGGCCCAAACAAATGGCAACAAATGTGCTCTAGCAGTATGCCAGACTAGCAGATACCCTGTAAAAGTAGATCAATAAAAGTAGATCAATAACTTTTTTGTCTACACCGCGATTTTGCTGGAATTTGCAGAGCTTGTTTATGATAAATCTAGAAATGCATTTATGAAATAGCAAAATGATATCTCTTAAGGAAATTAGTTTCAAAGTGAGGTGTATAGGTGGACTATAACTTTTTACTTTAAGCAAATCTCATATCATATTACTCTTAATACACTTTGTTATATTTACAGGGTGTCTACAGACTTTATCATATTCAAATTATCATTTAATATTACCTTCATGCTTATCTCTTGTCATTATCATAACCATATACTCTATTAATTTCATTCTTATCTCTAATCTATTCAATTGCCACTCTATGCATATCAAGCTGACCTTCTCGCATTTGCTGGCAAAGCAGCAGACAGTCGTAGTCAGTGCTAAAGGCAGCTCAAGTGTCCTATTCGCTTTGAACATGTTGCGCCTGCTGCTGCTTTGGCTAAGTATTTGTATTTGTGTGTGTGTGTGTGTGTGTGTGTATGTGTATCTGTAGCAGTTACACAGATAGCGAGGAAATCGTATCTGTATCTGTGTAGCGCAGACTTGGATGTGTGTGGCGCGTGGGCAGCGAGGCATAAGAATGCCGCCTCATGCCACAAGCGGCAGACAGTGGTCCGTCCGGCTCCACGCTGTGGGGACTCGCAACAAAGTAACACAGAAAATTGTTGCACGTTAACGGTAAGGAGAGTTCAAAGGGTGTATTAGCTATGGCAAGCAATAGGATATTGGATAAGAAATGATAAAATTATATATATATATAAAGATACTTTTTATTGAAATCGTGGCTGAGGAGAAAGAAACGTGGCTTATGATTCTGGGAAAAATAATGTAGAAGTTGTAGATGTCAGTTTCATGAGCAAAAATATTCACTGAGCCCATCAAGTGAATCAAAGGTAAGCAAAAGGAAGTTGTATACCCTAGAAAATAAATGTAGTCACAGATACTGGGGAAATATTGCTAGAAAGTTGTACGTTAGTCTTGAGTTGCTGCTTTAACTAAGAGCTGTCTATATGGAAAGGTTAAGGCAGGGGAGTATATGAAATGTAGGGTATAGGCAATATTATATTAAAGGGTATTTCCACTTCGTCTTGTCCCAATAATGGCAAATCGGAAATTTCTTGTTAATAAGTCTCAAACTGCGGCTCTAACAAGTCTGTGTAACAAGTAACATGGCAACGGCTGCGAGTGCTCGACTGTCTTGTCTGCTCCACAGCAGTTGCCGCCTACCCACACACACACACACACACACACACACACACAGAGGCACATATACGTTAAAGTATCTGCGCATTCGCTTTGAGTATCTACATCAAAAAGTTGACTTGCTCTGTATTTGTATCTATAGCTGGGTCTGTCTCTGTGTATGTGTGTGTGTGTGTGTGAGCGCCAAAAGTTCATGTGGAGCCAGGCAAGGTAGCCAACCACCTAAATCCCCCCTCCCTCCATTACCTCTCACTGTTTATGTGTATATATACATAATTTTGTTGTTTTGTCTCGTTTTCTCCTCACAGCAGCTGCAGCAGCTACGACTCGCGCTAGCTAGGCGCGTGTGTGTGTATGTGTGCGCTTGGGGATTACGTAAGGGAATCCCCAACATTTGCAGCGCAGTCAACAACAGCAGCAACAGCAGCAGCAGCTAAAACGAACGAAGCGAAGCGCTGAACTGCGTCAGAGTCAGTTGCATGTTTTATGCATGAATTGTGCTGCTGCCACGCCTCCGCCGTCCGCTTCCCGCCGCCACGAGCCAGCTGTAGCCCCAGCTAACCGCCACAGCCGCCCTTTAGCAGCTTCAACTCTGTGCGCAGCAAAATAAAATATAAAAAACAGCAGAAGAAGAAGAAAACGCAAATAAAGTATCTTATAGATACTTTTGTGGATGTTGTGGGGCTGGGTGGGGGCTGTGTGTGGGGGCGTGGTGCTGTGTAACAAGTGCGCGCTTGGTTGAGTTTCAAGTAGAAACATTGCTGCAAGCTGCCACGCCCCCCACCGCTGCCCATACGCCCACTGGCAGCAGCAGCAGCAGCAGCGCGACCTCCTGCAGTTTTACAGTTGCTTTTGCTTTTCTTTTTGTTTCACTCGCTCTTACTTCTTCTCCCTCTGTCTCTCTCTCTCCCAGCTTTTCCTTCTTCATTTTTTTTATAGTTTGCAAACTGTAAAATATTTTACTTTGTCGTAGAACTTTTGCCTGCTTGCAAAAGTGGGCGTGGGTGGCGGGTGGGTGGGCGTTGCGAAAGGGTGGGGGCGTGTTCGGTTACTTTTGCATATTGTATTCGTTTTTTTTTGTTCAAGTTTCAGTTTAAAGCGCGGCCAAAAAGTAATCTTTTAGCTGTAATTGAAAATGTCTGTTTCGCACCCTCTCTCTTTCTCTCTCTGTCTCTTGCGCTTTCTCTCTCTCTTTCGCGCGCGCTCTATCAATGTATCTAGCTCGCTCTTGGCTTTTCTATTTCTATTAACATTTGTTGCCTGTGGTGAACTTTTGTTTCAGCCTTTGTCCTTGCGAATACCCTGTAAAAAGGCGTGTCAGACCTAGAGAGTGGTTCGCTTACAACTCAAAGTGAGTTTTATTTTTTTTTATTTTTTCTTGATTTCCCCTTCTGTGCAGATGAAGCTAATACCAATTTTGTTATATACTCAATCACTGATGATTGTATCAATTACGCCGCCGCCGAATCCGACTGATCTGCTTCCTGCGTGAACTATCATCAGACAATCAATCAATCAATCATGCTATAGAAGTCACTTCTGTGGTATACATATATCTCATCTAAATTTCGAATAGCGCTACCTAGCCCTTCTGCTATCTATCGATAAAAGTTTACCTTCTATGTCAATCAATCAATCAAAGTTGATTCAGTCATATATTTGACTGATGCGTGGTATCTGCTAGTCAATATTGACTTCTATTAGCCGGCCATTTGATAGACAAGTAGTTTCACGCATACTAACGCTTGCCTATTTCTACACACCCACACACACTCACACACACACACACGCAGCTGTGGCTCTGTTTATACAACTACGGCCTTGAGCTCAAGTATCAAGTTTTGAAGTTAACGCATGTCAACAGGCGCAATAAAAAAAGGATATTGTGTGAGTGTGTGTGTGTGTGAGCCTCGAATGCTCAATTGTTGTAATGTGCATATACTTATGCCACAGGCTGTGCACATATACACACATACGTATATACGACTATATAGAGCTACTACTACATTTGCCTATTGGGTTAGGTTTTGAGGAATGGAGCTAACTTCCGCTGCTCGCATGTTCAATTGCTAGAAGTGTGCATATACTTATATTAAGGACTGTATGCATATATTTATAGCAGCAGCTGTGCAGGCATAACAGAACCAGTCAAAAGATTTTTGCTGAATTGTGGCACATTATTTGGTCTTTTATGAGTAAACTTTAGCTGCAGACTGTATAGATATTTATTCACATACTTTTGCTATATACTGTGGAGGGTTAATTATGCTTATAGATTTTTGAAGACTATGAAGGAATTGTACCTAATATGGCTATACATTTGCCAGAGACTGTCTATATACTTTCTCTACAAACTGTAGCTTTCTTAACTATATATATATTGTATATATCCCACTTGGAACTAAATAAATTTTCAATACATTTCCAGTTTCTGCTAAATATGCTGGTCGTATATTTTCTTAGTCTATATTCCATTGAATCTATACATTCTTTAAATTTCAATATACATATACTCGATGTTTTACCTATCTATATGCTAATACTTATATTACCGACTGTTGACATAATTCCTCTACAGACTGTAAGGGTTTTCTCGTTAATATTCCAATTGGAAACTGTGAACATTTAGATATATATCTTATTGTTACCGCATACAGTCTAGACCATTCACATACTTCCTGAACAGACTATGAACTTTTTACTCTATATATTCCAATTGGCTCTAATCAAATTAGAATTAAATTAGAGTTTGTACTTACTGCCACGTCCGCTGCCCTTGCGTCGCGCCATTGTCTATCCACTGTCTGTGCGTGTGTGTGTGTATGCCCAGTGTCCAGTGTCCAGTGTCCAGTGTCCCGTGTCCTGAGTGTATCCTTTATGTTGCTTCCGTTTGCCTGTTTGTTTACAAGGCTCTAGTTATGCGCCGACATCGTGTGAGCTGCCTCGGACTCTGCGACTTGATTGATGTGCAATATATATATGTATATATATATGTTAGATAGTGACGCCTGTCACGCCCACTGGGGTGGTGGGGTTGTGTGTGTCCTTGCCACGTTTCTGTTGTCCTTCGTGTCCCTTACAGCCAGGCCAGGACGTCTCAGCGCGAGGCAAAGCAAAGCGCTCGACTTGCTCGCTTTTGTGGCCTGATTCCGTTTGCCTTTATGTATATATATAACTGTATATATATTTGTGTGCTAGTGTAGTAGTGCCATGTGTGTCTGTCTGTCTGTGTGTCTGTGTGTGAGCTATGATGACGTGGCTGTTGCTCGCTTGGCTTTTGGCTGCCCGCAATTCGCAGTCAAAGGCAACATTTTTCCTTTAATACAATTTCCATTTCGTTTCTCTCTCTATCTCTCTTTCTCTCTATATATATAACTGTATAAAATGCTTTTAAATATTTCAAAAAAGTTTTTACTATGCTTGATTTTTGATTTTTCGTTAAACTTTTTTATATATTTTTGTTGTGTTTCTTTTGTGGTCGTTTCATTTGATATGCTTTTTGCGCGTTTTTTGTTGTTTGTGGATTTTAAATTGTGGTCAAATTTAGCCACAAACCACGTGGGATTTGTCTGCTTCTCCAACTTCTCTCTCTTCTTCTTCAGCTTGTTTTGTTTTTTTCTGTTTGTTTGTTTGTTTATTGTCGTAGGCCGCGATTTTCCCGTTTAGCCGCGCGCGTGCAACAAAGACGGCAAGCGTCAAGCATGACGTATGACAAAAACAGGCCAAAAGCAATTGCGTTTGCTTTTTTGCGTTTGTTTTTGTATTTGCTTCGCTTTGCTTTATTCGCTTATGTTTTTTTTTAGGTTTGGGCAACACGTTGCGTATACGCAATGCACAGACTTAACATGCAATTCAACTACTTCAATATATATGCATATATTGATAGTTAAACAAATCTACATGTATTTGTTATCAATTTTCCTGTATGTGTGACACTTTCAATATGGCGCGTATGTGTATGTGTGTGTGTGTTGGTGTGTGATTTCTATTAATATAACTGAAATATATTCGCTGCTGCTGCTCTACGAATTGTGTGTGAAGCGCGCGAATAACGAGAGGCGTGCGTCGACTTCGGCGTTCACGAACAAACAAGACGCGATGTTAATACAAAACTGAGCACTGTTAACACTTAAGTGCTTCGTGCTGCACGGCACAAGCCGAACCAGCGTGCACGAACCCACACACACATAGCGAGCGAGAGAAAGAGAGAGAGAGTGGGAACTTGTATTGAGAGCACGTAAAACCTGCTTGCTGTGCTTGGCCAGCGCTCTCTTCTTCGTGCGCTCACACTCTTTGCCGGTGGCTTTCAATGGCTTTGCGTTTGCTTTCAATTTGTCGTCGTTCGCCTTTGCTTTCAATTGCTTTTGGTTTTTGTTTACCTTTTTTTTGTTGTTGTGCGCGCTGCGCATGTTTTTGCTCTTGAAGTGTTTTTCTGATTGAAATCGTATTTAAGAGCGCGCGCGTCTTGCTTCTAGCTTTCGGATTCTACTCTTTGCTCCCATTGAGTGTGAGCGTACCTGAGTGGATTTTTATTGAATTTGTTTTTTAATTTATTAAGAAACCCAGTCAAATTCTTGCTTACAGTCATTTAGGCGGTTTAAATGTTGCCAAATTCTGATTTATTTTATAAATGTTTATTAAACCATTTTATTTGCTTAAATCAAAATAATCTGCATACTTTTGGGCGGAAAATTTTAATTTATTACTTTAGAGTTTAGAGTTTATTATTAATTTTAAATAATGTTTTTAATTATTGTAAAAATTAATATTTATTTATTTTTCTATCTTTTATGTTTTTTTTTTTTTTTTTTTATTATTTTGTTGTTTGACTAGAATTTGTTTTGGTAAATAAAAAAAAAAATTAATTACGATATATTTTTTTTAATTCCTGAATTTCTGCAGTTTTTGTTCCTGAATAATACTTCGGAACGCAGTTATAAAAGCAGACCAAGAACATATTATAGTATAGTTAAAGTAATAAATAGAAAGGTTTGACAAATGTGTTTTTTGCTTTTGTCGTTTATTCTTCTTCTTTTGTCTTGATACTTCATCAAAGGCAATTGAGTTAATACTTTTTTCTGTCGAGGGTTATTCGAAGATGAATTATTTTTTCTTGAGTGGGCGTTCAGAGTGTCGCAAAGCCCACACAAAAAAGGCGTGGCAAGTGCAACATTAGGCATTAAATACAGAACAGAGAATACCCCTACTTGGCTTAGCACTGCTCTTCCCTTTTACTTAATCACTTACACTGCTTTCTCTCTCGCTCTCTCTCCCTCTAAATATATACATATATATATATTACTACACTTCCTCTGTCCCACCTCTTTCCGCCTGCTCTTCTTCTTCCGAGCTCTTTGTAAACGCAACGGCATCAATGAATCTTGCATCAGCTGTTTTTTGTTTACGTCTAAAGACGCAGGCGCCATTTTGCCGGCCCTTTCCAATGTTCCAGCCGTTCGAATTTCGCATTGGAAAAGTAGGGGAAATTCGGTTTCGAACATGCCCAAGTTTGGCGCCAAATATCGCCGTTGAGTGAATGTGCCACGCAGTCGTGCGACAAAAGCGCAACCGAAAGGAACACGCCGAATCGAGCGCGGATCGAAAGTTGGAGCGAAAAATATTTGAAAAGAGGCTCTTGAAAGAGATTTAAAAATAAAATAAATAAATAAACGAAAATAGTAAATAAATAAGATATATACTACTAAATTTAATATGTAAAACAAATAAAAATATTAATGAATAAACGGAAAATAATTCATAAAAAACATTTACTCTTAAATAGATTATTTAGAAAATAATACAAAAATTCAAATTCAGTGCGTGCAAAAATTCTAATGGAATTTATTAAAACTTTACAATGTGATTATGTATCTTTAAATGTATTTATAAATTAATAATTTAATAAATAAATTAATACAGTTATGTGTTGCTTAATAGGAATACAAAATAAATACAAATATAAAAATAAATAAATGAAAACCTCACAAAAGTTTACATAAATTCGCATTTAAAGTATAATAATAATAATAATTAAAGACAGTGCAAAAGGGTTTTACAACATATGAAAAACTATTGCTAAAAAAAAAAAAAAAAGTAAAAAAATACATAAATTAAAATTGAGCCCTAAATTGGAGATTACAAATGTGTCCCAAAACATTAAGCATTAAAATAAATTATAATTTATAATTTATGCAAAGAAACATTTATGAATTTCCCTAAAGTTGCATTCGCATTAAAAATGAAATAAAATCGCCATAAAAATGTAAATATCACATTCTTTCTCTCTCGCTCTCTCTCTCTCTCTCTCTCTCATTCTGTCTTCTTTTAATATCAGATTTTAATGCCACTTTATACTCGCTCATGCAGTGAAAATGGGGATATTAGTTGCATATAATGCGCGTCTATCTAAAGAGAAGGTGAAGTTAGTTTTATCTATGGATCTAGGTGCAGAATCTTCATATAAACTGTGAAAACTACGCCCACAAGAGGCGTGACAAAAAGCGCGTTGATTTCATAAGAAATTGAACTCTGCTTAAGATCTGTGTAGCTGGAAGGAGTATTCAGCAGTTGTTCATGCCCGACTTGTTTTTATTATTCTTCGACTTAAAACTGAAATAAATGAAATTTTTATTGCCTTCAATCTGAGCATAAACTTTGAATTTTTATTTAAAAATTTAAATTTCTGAAATGACTATATATATGTAAAAAGTTTACAGTTCAAGCTGCATTCGATGAATTTTAATTTCTGTTTTCAATGGAAAGTAAATCAATATATGCAACATAATATTTTTAAACCCCAAAAGGGAAAAACAGCTCAGACTTTATATTTGTGAAGCTTGCCAATATTTAAAATTGATGGGAAATCCTTGCCACGAGCGAAAATTTGATTTGTTCATTAGAGAGGGAGACAAATGCAATTTTAATTTGATTGCCGACCACGAATTGCAAACGGGTGTATTGGTTGTGCGTAGGCAGGGTGAATAGGGCATAGTGGCGGAGTACAGGGTATACAGGGTATATAGGGTATATAGGGCATACAATGTATATAGGGTATACAGGTTATTTTTGTCTTTTATCCCAATCTCAATTTACATTAGAGGGAGATACCCTGATACCCTTTTACTTATGTGATTTATAGCTTATCGTTATTTGCTTACGATTCTTAAGATTCTGAGCGGATTTTAGATTGAATTCTTCTTTTCTCTCTATTTCGTTTGCTAAACAGGGTACGTTGTAGTCGCTCATTGGCCCACTCGTAAGTGTTTTAGGCTTCTTTAGTTGCTAAGCAAGTCGATTTGGGATCTTTGCATTTGCTCCTTTCCCATTTTCTCTCTCTCTCTGTATCCCCTCTACAGTACTGGGTATCTTTTAGTCGTTCTCTTTATTACTCGTCTGTCATTTTTATGCTTTGCTTATTAATTAAACAAGCCAGCTGTGAATCTGTCTGCTTTTGCCATTTCACATTTGTCCTGTCTCTCCTTTTACCCCTTTTACATTTTCGCCTTTCTGCTTTTCGCCTTTTTCCTTTAATTGAACTGAAATATTTTCATTTTAATTACATATTTGTTGTTGCTTTGCTACTAATTTGATCGACACATGTCTCTGCGTCGCTTTGTTGTTTACTGTTTATTTAACGAGTCCAATTTGCGCTCTCACTTAATTATTCTAATTCAACAATTTTGCTGGGAATTGAATTGTTTAATGGCCCGGGCTGATGTTGCTTTGCCTCTTTCAATTTTTAATTGCAGGCGGACATGATAAATGGACAGCAACAAAAGCCAATATACCCCATTGCCATTGCCGTAACAGCTCCCATTGCCTCTTCAGCGCCTCCAGCCCTTGCCCTCTCTTGCCCGCTCTTTTGCTCATTGGCTCTAGCTGTAAATTAAACGCCAAAGTCAATACTTAATTGCCTTTGTTGGCCATAAACATTATTGTTTATACTGCGCGCGAGTGTGGGCACATATAAACAAATATTGCGCAAGAGGAAGACACCCAAACTGACAGAGACAAAGAGAGAGAGAGAGAGAGAGAGAGAGACAGAGACAGAGAGGAATAGAGAGAAAGAAGCGACGAGTCTCATTCACAGAAATTTCAATTGGAGCAAAACAGCAAAGCAGAAAATATATAGCAAAAATTGAAATAAATATCCATAGGTGAGTACAGTACCTGTCGGTTTTATTCAACAATGTGTACACACACATACACACACACACAACATACTTAAACATTGTTAAACTGACGTATACCTAACGCAAACCAAAGTGTTGCGCATACGCAACGTTAACCTTGCATTATATTGATGTGTGCTACAGACAGCACATGCAGAGAGAGAGAGAGAGAGACAATACATATAGTCTACACGCACACACACACATACACACATGTGAATAAAAGCTGAGCATGCCCGACTATACCCTGCAAGCTGAGCAATGCTCGATCTGTCAATCAAGCTAGAGTTCTTCTTATTTATCTGCAGAAAAGACAAATGGATACACACATATATACACACATACACGCACACATATATACATGCTGACAAGCTTACACACACACACAATCACACAGCTCACTAAAACTCTGCTAACATGGCGTATGCTTAACAAGCAACAAAATATTGCTCATACGCCACGTTGCCTTGCATAATATTGCCAACCACACACACAAAGACACGCCCAGGGGCAGAACATGCACACACGCATACATGTTAACATGCTAACAATATGTTAGACTGTTTTGGGTCAGGATTGCACGACTAATAGATACCCTAAAAGCCCTAGTAGCGCTGCGCTGTCAGTCAAGTTAAACTGTTTTTGTTTCTTGACAAGCCTTCACATCGACTCACACACACACACACACATTGCTAAGCATTCGTTTACTTCCGTACAAAGGAATAACTTGATTGCCAGATAGACGTGCAGAAGTTCAGGGCATAAATATGACAGTCAAAAGATGCGTAAATTAAGTTATAGCTGCGCGTGGATATTCAGCCGGCGTCTTTATCTGCGATGTTGATGGGCGCCACGATGAAAGAATTTGTGCTGCTCTCATTCATTCCCTCAGCATTAGGGCTGGCCTCAGATGAGTGCGTCTTGAGACTGACACATAAATTCGCTTAAAACTAAAGCCTAAAAGCCGATGATGCACAGCGAACAAAATGGAATCAATTGACCAAAATATTTGATTGAATCTGATAGGAAATACATTCAAGAGAAATTGAATAGTCGACAGCTCGGATAGGGCTGAGAATGACATTAGACTGCTACTGAGTGATCTTTTTCCTGTGTTGAAGTCGAGCAACAAAACATTTGAATTGAAGCTGTCAAAGATGAAAGACTCTTAAAAGATATATAGGAATATGATTAGTAAATTTCAACAGCTTAGCTCAAGTAGTTCTCGAGATATGCACGTTTAGAAACAGGAACTGACAGTCAGATAGATAGATTTAGTTGCTTAAACTAGTCAACTAAATACATATAGCAAATCAGGTTCGCCTCGCTCCAACCAATATGCTCCATATGCCCTCAAGTTGTCATCTAATTTCACCAACCAGTATATAATAATATTGCGCATACGCACCGTTCGCCTCGTTTAATATTGAAGAGCTCCGACGTAGTTTGGATTTTCCATATTGTTTTCTGTTTATTAACGTCCGATTTGCTGGTTGTAATCGAAATATTATACATAACATTCGGGGTCCTTTTAACGGTGTGTTGGATACATTTTGATCATGTTTCGAGCATCCATTGATTTATGAATTCCGATGAATTATGTGCGCCTACCTACGCACTCAGCCGGGCAGGACGCCGGGACAGGTGTGGTTAATGCGCGTCCCGCCATTAAAGGTCAGGCTGAGATAGCAATTGAGCACATGCCATAAGCAGCTGGAAAACCCATCAACCGAAGTGGGTGGCGGGAGCGACGGGAAAGGGGAAATGTGCAAAAGCGGAAGAAACGGAATTTGAGAGGTGCCTAGAAACCAGTCGAAAGCCTTTAAGCTATTGTTAAAGCACTTTTATTTTTTCGGTTAAGCTGTTGCAAAGAAATTGAGGGCGCTATGTGGAAGAGCGGAGCGGAGAGAGGAGAGAGGGATTACTGAGTGGTTATGCATAGATAAGCTGGGAGATGGCTGGGAAATGTGGTCTATGGCACGTGCTGAAATGGGAGTATTGGATTGTTAAGTAAATAATCTAGATGATGGGGTATATAGACTAATATTGTGGGGTATTGTGAGAGACTATGAGAGGGGTGGATCGGAGATGGGATATGTGGAATATGGAAGACCATAAGCTAGAGATTTAGATAACTAAGTTTAGAGATTTGGATTACTATTGAAGGCTACATCTAGGAAATTATGAAAATTTATTATATTACATAAGAGTCATTATGCGGCAGTAGATGGAAAATATGTTAGTTAACTAAAGCCAACTTATTGATTCGTCCTGAGTTCGGCATCGGAGAGAGATATTTCCAAGAGTCAAGTTAACACTTAGGCAAAATCCACAACAAGGAACCAATCAAATGTATTGAGAACAGATAATTTTGTGTGTACGAAAATGAGCTCAAGGTTATTCCCAACAGAGCTCAAACCATTCTGCTGAAGCAGCAACAAGTTGGACCTGAGCGAGCGGTCAGTTCTCGAGCAGCTGCATCGTGTCTATTCGGGTGACTGCATATTTTCCAGCAGAGCAAGCTGAAAAGTCTTTAAGGGACAAGGTTTACTTGAGCGAAAGTACAAACGAGAATTTGAGCAATCGATTGGTCGACAGTTTGGAATTTAATTTCAGGATGCGCTGAGTAAAGATGAGAGCCATGCGATGGGAGGAAAGGGACAAACTCTGAATTCAAAGCTAAAAAATGCCTCAGTCTCTCGTTGCTGAATAAATGCCATTGTCCCTAAGTGGGACAGAATACACCAAGCCACATTCCCACAGACAAACAATGACAACTATAAAAGAAAAAAAATATCAATGTTCAGCTGAGTTTTATATGATATACTTAATATGTTTCGAATTATATTCTTATGTAATTGATGAAGCTGAAACTAGTTGAGAATTCTAGGAAGCCGAGAGAGAGAGGAGAAAATGAAACCAATTACCAAGTGCAATATTTGATTTTTTTCGAGTGAATTATGAATAAGTAAAACTGGCAGTCTTATGGACTCTCCACTCTCTCCACTCTCCACTCTCTCTCTCTCCACTCTCTCTCCACTCTCGATTTATGTCCCACTGAATGAACACATGCACAAGCCTCGTATCAGATCCAGGCAAGAGTTACACTAAGCCGAAAATATTTCTGTTTGCAGTTCAGTCGGTCAAATTGGATATTCGTGTGTGCAATTCCAATCAGAAACAGTGAAATGCCTCTTGTTTACGGCTAGCAGCCTAGAAACTATTTGTTGAGCTTTCTTGTATTTGTGTGTGTGAGTGCGCTCGTGCGATATGTATATAGCCGGAAGCACTGTATCCGGTCAGATGGGAAACAAGGAAAACCACAAAAGGCAATGGAGGAAACTGGATTCAGTTTGGCTTTAAGTCTTTACATGAAGTGTGTGATAAGTGTGTGTGTGCGTGTGTGTGTTTGCTTACTAACTTGTCCAGCCAGGACATCAAAGAGAGTAAATGACAAACGAAAATAGATCTAAATCAGAAATTGGAAACTTTTCACTGAGAATAACCAAAATACCTAATGCAATCTAAGAGCTCTGTAAATATATGCCAGAGACAGTGGGGGGTGGGGCGAGAGGGCGGCGCATGACACTCAGCTGGACATTTTTTAATATATGCCAAAGCAAGAGGACGTCGCTTTATTAAAAAATACAACGACAACAACAACAACAAAAGCGGAAATAGTAATGAAGCAGAGAAACTCGTAAAATACACAGAGATAAAAAGCGAGAAAGAATTGAGCAGCTGCGCGCTGCATGGACTTGGCCTCACTTCATTATGGCAAATTACTATGGCGAATCTTTATTAAATATATATGTAAATATATATGTACGTATTTGTTAGCCACTCCGTACTTAGCCTGACCTGCCCACCATTTAGGCCACGCCCCCTGTCCGCACTTAGCCTTATTTATGTGCGTTTACTGTTGCTGGACATGAGCCGCAATTTATTTGGATTGTATGTCAGCTAATTAGCTGTCGGAGCCATCCCTCATTTAACCTGATTGGCAAGCGAGCACACGCACAGACAGAGAGAGAGAGAGAGAGAGGGGGGATAGAGAGAGAGAGAGAGAGAGAGAGAGAGAGAGAGGGGAGAGAGGACACATTTAGGCCTGTGCTGGATAATTGACAAAAATTCTAATTACCTGTTTATATTTGTATATATGTACATACATATATAAATATACTTCCAAATTTTGGCTAGAGAGTAATACCTATGTTTATACATATACATAGAACTCGTTCGAGCGCAACTGCAAATTTGTGAAAGAGTGCAGTTGATATTTAATACTCTGCCTCTGCTATGAACATGAGAATACAGGGTATATTAGTTTATCTGAAACTCTATGAGGAACCCTTAATTCTAGATTACTAGCATGAGCTGAGACTATATAGCCATACAGCCCTAGCATATTATGCAGCAAAAGGAGCGGATAATCTGCTTAGGGTGAGCATATCTGCTCCTCGTTCAATCTCGACTGCAGCTACTCTACTTGATTATTCAGATTTGAAATAAACTGTTATAATCAAAAACTTAATTTTGTGTAATTTCAATTAGTGAGAGGGTATTTCGACAGTCGAGCAGAATTTTCACTGGTAGTTTGATGTTAAATGTTAATAGCATTATGAATCACGTTTTATTTATGTCTAAATTTCACAGAGCTCGAATTTCCAATTTATTAGAGAACGTCTTATCCGATTACGTCAATCGATGCGTGTAATGCGATGTGGCATGAAAGTGGGCGGAAAAAGATGTGGAGACGGGGGCTGTAAGTGAATGCAGAGGCGAAAGGGAAGCAGCAAAAAAGGATTGTGAATCGTAAAAAGAGAGATAACTAGATTCCTTTGGTTTAATTAGGCAAATTTTGTGGGCATTTAATCTTCTGGACTTTGGTCGCTTCGAATGCTTTGCGTTTCGTCTATGAATGTTTTTTATGCTTGTCACTAGAGAATGGCAACAATAAAGATGACACAGACCTCTCTCTCTCT